TTTCCTGCCTTCAGTTAGTCGGGGCTACACAGGCCGGGACGCCCTTCCCCACTCCATGCCCCCATCAGCCCGATGCATCAACCGACCCTGAGCCGCGCAGATAGAGCAATGTACAGCTTGCACAGCTTGCACATGTCGCTTGCTTGGCCTGCAGCCGTGCGAGCTGAACCTGCACATCTGCTTGGCAGAGTTATGTGCAGTGATGGTAGGGGATGATTGTGAGACAGCGTTAGACCGACACAGCGAAAGCGCGAGACAGCGCAAGCGCGAGACAGCGCAAGCGCGACACAGCGAAGCGTGAGACAGTGTAGGTGAGCGTGCAAATGCAAGCTGGATGCCAGCCTCACAGAAAAAATGTTCGTTCGTCGGCCTCCATTCCCATTTGCTGTTCGCTGATGCGTTGCTCCAAAGATACAAGTGCACCTGCTAGAGAGAAGGACTGAACGCCCCGTCCTATGACACCCCGTTGCAAAACAAACAGTCCGAGACCTTCAAGTTGTCCGAACCAAGGCGGGCTGCCCATGTCGGTATCGGATGCCAAGGCCTGACAACACTGTGACAACACCGCAGCAACAGTGTGACAGCATTGCCACAAACACGGTCCTGAAATAAATACCGCATGCGCCGGCGCCCAAAACAAATTACATACACGACATGTGCTGTGCAGCGTCGCTGCCGCCGCCGCCAGCCCCCGTCCCCAGCACCCCGCGCCCACCACCCCCCCCCTTCAATCGAGCGGAACAAGCACCTCTGGCCCGAGGTGGGTCGTGTAGCGTTAAGATTCAAGAAACCCATCTGCTGGCCATTTGAACATCTCAAGCGTCTTGAGTTTCAAGACAGAAACCAAAGATTAAAGATTCACAGGAAACTTTTGGGCCAGCCTTTGATTTCGTCTCCCCATCTTTGATATTCAAGACGCTCAAGACGCTCAAGACGAACATCGAAGGCAGAGCACAAGAGTTTCCCCGGAATCTTCAATCCTCGGCTTCCCATCTTGAGTCTCAAGCTCTCGAAACGCACACAACCGAAACAAAATAGGAGAACTCTTGTTGTTTGGCCTTCAGTTTCAATCTCCTCTGGAGACTCAACACACTCAAGACCATACCGATGCTCCTATTCCGTTGGAAAATGAACGACCCGTCTCTGAATACCTCAAGCTCGCCTAACTCTGCAAGCTCCACAATACAGATCAACTTAGCACATGGTAAATAACAATGCAAACCCAACCAGTCAATGAACATCACCTCAACAGCTCAACAAACATCGACATGAAGCATTCTCTCTCTCTGAGCCTGTTTCGTATCACAGTTTTACATTGCACGTTCTGCAACCTCAACATATCAATGAACATCAGCGCGCCAACCCTATGGACATGACAAAGAAGCATCTTGCATATCCTCGCTGAGTATATGAGTTTTTCGTACCACAAAGTATCCAGAACACTTTCTGCTACAACTTGACTGTCTTGCCACTTTCGCACTTGCTATGGCCAGCTGAAGTTCCTTCTATTCCGGGGTGTTTCTTCGACGCAAACCGTCACTCACCCTGTGATGTGTTAAAAAACATATCAACGCCGATCCTTTCAGATTCCTTTCTGCAATTTTCCGCAGGGTATTGTTGTGAGAGCATACAACTTCCGACCCCTATCTGGATGTTCCGAGATAAAGGATTGAAATCGGGATTCTTTGCAAGAAAGGCTTCAATGCACATTTCCGATCACACAAAAGCAGAGGCCCGTATACATCTTACGTTGTGATTTTAGCCACCATCTCAGCCTCGACAGTCTCCTCGACACGGCGCAGGCATTTCCTGAAGTACAGCTCCGGTCAAGGCAAGGGAAGGATTTGGGGAGGCACGCACTGCTCGCACTATACTGGTAAACCGAGGGCCCAACTCCTGAGCCAAGGCCGCCCGTTCCAACTGCAGTGGGAAAAAAGAGCACATTCTGCACATTTGTGCCTACTGGATGGAGGGCTGCGCTTCGGGCCGTGCCTTCTCTACCCGCACACTCTGATGGGAGGAGGCCAACTCCTCGCAAAGAAAGCATCGTTGATGCGGACTGCATGGCGCCACTTGCTGTCAACGGGCCTCGAGCTGCCTCAAGCTTTCGTGCTGCTCTGCACGTAGCTCTGCCAACTCGGCACGAAATGTTGCCTGCACCTGCGCAGGCCGCACATACCAGGAAATACCCGGCCAGGGGCACCCAGAGTCGCGGCTGAAAAGCCCTCCAGCTGCTCAAGGTGAGGAAACTGCACGATGCCCCCTCTGAAAACCCTTCGACCTTCGAGTGCCACAGGCGTTTGCCTCGCTGAGGGCCGTCCCAACAAGGCCGCGTACCTACTCAACATCCAGCATCATCCGACTTCCGACCGCTTTTGCATTTCCCCACCAAAGAAACAAGTGCTCTGAGATCGGAAAAACAACTCCTGAACCCTAAGCTCTACATAAACCTCAATATCCCCACCACTCTTTCAAGCCGTGCAAGCTTGCTTTTTTTCAAAAGCACACATGAGTCTTTGTTGACGCCGTCATCCGCCCTTTTATCTGCAATGGGGGGGATTGCGGACCCCCGCCCCCCCACCCCCCGCTTGTTAAGCCGTGCAAGCTTGCTTCAGGAATTTTGGGTCAAACCCATCATGCGAGCATTGTGTTTGCAAATGTTTGCAAATTGGGGAGCTGCGCCCCCCCCAACCCCCCACTGTATTCTTTTTCGAACCTATCATGCGAGCGTTGTGTTTGCAAGTGGGAGGGGTCTGCCCCAAACCCCCCACTTGTTAAGCCGTGCAATCTTGCATCAGGCTTTTTTTCAAACCCATCACGCGAGCATTATGTTTCCTAAAGAATCCTAAACCCTGAACACCCCTAAACCCTAAACACTAAAAGCCCGGAAACCCTAAACCCCAGAAAGCCCCCAAACCCCGAACCCTAAAATACCCGACACCCCCAAACCCTAAACCCTAAACCCAGAAAGCCCCCAAACCCCGAACCCTAAAATACCCGAAGCTTCAAACCCTAAAAACCCCAAACCCTAAACCCTAAAACATCCTAGGCCCTAAACCCGAAAATGCCCGAAGCCCCAAACCCTAAAAACCCTAAACCCCAAGAAACCCTAAACCCTCAACACTAAAAACCCCGAAAGCCTAAACCCCAGAAAGCCCCTAAACCCTGAACCCTAAATACCCGAAGCTCCAAACCCTAAAAAACCCTAAACCCGAAAGACCCCTAAACCCTCAACACTAAACCCGCCAGAAAGCCCCTAAACCCTGAACCCTAAAAACCCCTACAGCCGAAACCGAAAAAATAACACATAAACCGTGAACCCTAAAACCCCTGAACCCTAAACCCTAAAACTCCCTAATCCCGAAAAATCCCTTAACCCTAAACTCCCCCTCGGAGGTGCAGGTTTTCTGGCAGGGTTCAGGGTGTTTTCGGCCCACGTTTCTGGGGGCTGTTCTCTGTCGGGGGCTCCAGCACGCTTTCGACTCAGGGGTCTGCCCTGTTCTCGACTCAGGTCCGTCCGGTTTTCGACTCAGGGGACTTGACTGATGAGCACTTTCCGGCTTGACCCTCACTCTACTACCACAGACGCGAAGAGACTTAAAATCTAGCAGCCCCTTTTGTCGGAAAAAGGGAAGCAATTAGAAACTCCTCCTCCTCCTCCTCCTCCTCCTCCTCCTCCTCCTCCTCCTCCTCCTCCTCCTCCTCCTCCTCCTCCTCCTCCTCCTCCTCCTCCTCCTCCGGCGGCGGAGAGCTGGGGGGGGGAGGGGGGCCTCGCGCAGCAGAAGTGCCGGCTCGCCACGGCCACCATCCTCTGGGAGAGAGCGTTCCCACAGTGACAGCGAACGAGAGCGAGCGAGAGAGACAGAAAAAAAGTAGACACAGAAAGAGAGAGAACCCCAAAAGAGAGAGAGAGAGGGAGAACGCGAACACACTCACACGCACACACACGCACACGCACACGCACGCGCACACGCACACGCACGCGCACACGCACCCGCACGCGCACGCGCACACGCACACGCATGCGCACGCGCACGCGCACGCGCACGGGCACACGCACACGCACACGCACACGCACACGCACACGCACACGCACACGCACACGCACACGCACACGCACACGCACACGCACACGCACACGCACACGCACACGCACACGCACACGCACACGCACACGCACACGCACACGCACACGCACACGCACACGCACACGCACACGCACACGCACACGCACACGCACACGCACACGCACACGCACAAGCACACGCACACGCACACGCACACGCACACGCACACGCACACGCACACGCACACGCACACGCACACGCACACGCACACGCACACGCACACGCACACGCACACGCACACGCACACGCACACGCACACGCACACGCACACGCACACGCACACGCGCACACGCACACGCACACGCACACGCACACGCACACGCACACGCACACGCACACGCACACGCACACGCACACGCACACGCACACGCACACGCACACGCACACGCACACGCACACGCACACGCACACGCACACGCACACGCAGCACACGCACACGCACACGCACACGCACACGCACACGCACACGCACACGCACACGCACACGCACACGCACACGCACACGCAAACGCAAAAGCAAAAGCACACGCAAACGCACAAGCACACGGCACACGCACACGCACCACGCACACGCACACGCACACGCACACGCAACAGCACACGCACACGCACACGCACCACGCCACACGCACCACGCACACGCACAAGAAACACGCACCACACACGACACACACCACACATACATACATACATACATACATACATACATACATACATACATACATACATACATACATACATACATACATACATACATACATACATACATACATACATACATACATACATACATACATACATACATACATACATACATACATACATACATACATACATACATACACACACACACACCTCCAACTCTCTAGGGGATTAGAGTATCCCAAAAATGCAAAACGCGTACTCAGCTACTGAGTCGCCGCCCGTGGCCAGCATGCTGCTCAAAGCATCATGTCGTACACCACTGTCGTTGTCATCCAGCGCCGTCTGGAGGAGGGGCAACACAGCGCCGGGGTCTGCAGAGCCCAGCTGACCCAGGCTCCTTACAGTATTTAGGCGAACGTCAACATCCGTGTCACGCAGTGCCATGTCGAGCATGAGTATGGCAGCTGGGTCTACGGAGCCCAGCCGACCCAGGCTTCGCGCAGCAAACTCTCGCACAACATGATCCTCGTCACTCAGCGCCTTCTTGAGCAACTCGCCTGCGGAGCCCAACAAACCCAAGTTGTCCGCAGCCACACGCCGCACACGAACACTCTCGTCACTCAGCGCCCTCTCAAGAATCCGAGGCAAAGCGCCAGGGGCTGCGGAGCCCAGCTGAGCCAGGCCCTTGAGAGCTGATTCGCGCACCCACCCATTCTCGTCGCTCAGCGCCTTTTGCCAGATGGGCAGCACAGTGCCGGGGTCTGTAATTTCCAGCTGGCGCAGGCTCTCTGCAGCAGCCCTCCGCACATCAGGAATCTGGTCACTCAGCGCCTTGTCGACAACGGGTATCACAGCACTGGGGTCGAGGGAGCCCAGCCGGCCCAAGCTCTTCACAACCAGGCGCCGCACGTCAAGATCCTCGTCACTGAGCGCCATCCGAAGCATGGGCAGAACAGCAGCTGGGTCCACCGAGCACAGCCGAACAAGGCCAGACACGACCTCCTGGCGCACGGCCTCATTCTCGTCACCCAAAGCCTGCTGCAGGATGGGCAGCACGGTGCTGGGGTTTACGGAGCCCAGCTGGTCCAAGCTCTTCACAGCAGCTTTGCGCACCAAGAAGTCCGGGTCGGACGCCAGCTCCTGCCTGGGTTGTCCCCGACTGTCCCCCTCTAGACTGGTTTAGGGTTTAGGGTTTTGGGTTTAGGGTTTTTGGGTTTAGGGCGTAAAGTTCAAGGTTTAGGGCTACCCCGCCCTAGATTCCCAAAATCAAAACAACCTTAATCCGATTCGCTATCCCTAAATCGCCTGAATGATGGGGGGGGAACCCATGACCTTTGGAAAGCATTGGTAGGTGGGGTTCCCTTCTGAGACACCCAGATGAGGAAAACAAGATAGGGGTACCCGAAACATACCCCCCGAAATACTGTAATCCTTACTTAGGATACCCCAAGAAGGATACCCTAAACCCTAAAGCCTAAACCCTAAACCCTAAAGCCTAAACCCTAAACCCTAAACCCGAAACCCCAAACCCTACACCCTAAACCCTAAACCCTAAACCCTAAACGAGCGAGCTGCAAGGTGGCGACTGCCAGCTGCACGCTCCCGTCGCCCATTGCGCCCAGCGCTTGAGCTGCGGCCTCCTTGAGCCCACCGGTGTGCGCCATGTGCAGCAAGTCCTGTTTGTGAGGTTCTTAAGGGAGGGTTTAGGGTTTAGGGTTTAGGGTTGAGGGTTGAGGGTTGAGGGTTGAGGGTTGAGGGTTGAGGGTTGAGGCTTTCCCCTTGAAGCCCCCCTCCCTTAAGAACTCCCTTAGTCCTCCATGATAGTGGTGTCGAACATAAGCACCAGGTCAGGGAATGCCATTGCTATCTGCGGCCCATCTTCCTTCAAAACGTCAGGAAGCCTCAAGACCGCCATGGAGCGGGTCTGGGACGCCATGCGCACTGCAACGGTGCGGAGGGTCGCGAAGTCGATCTCCCCTCTTGCCAGGCAGGCGTGATAGAGCTCCCGTGTCAGGTTTCCTGAGCCGTGTCCCAAAAACCCCGAAGCGGCCCTTTTTATGAAGCAGGTGGTAGCTACGCATGCTGTCCCGAAACCAAGATGGGAATTGTGTGTGTGTGTGTGTTATTCCTAAAACCCTAAAAGCCGTAAAAACCTACAAAACCCTAAACAACCCTAAAGACCCAAGAAAACCCTAAAAAACCCGTAAAAAAAGACACCCGAAAAACCCGAATCCAAAAAAAGACTCTAAAAACCCCAGAAGCCCTAAAAGCTCTCAACCCCACAATGCCCCCCCCCCCCCCCCAAAAAGCCCTAAAAAGGCCGAAATATCCCCAAGTGTCTGTTGGTGAGCTTGCATTCCTCGCCTAGCTGGTGGCCTGGCTTCAGGTAGTCGACGGCCCGGAGATCTAGGGACTGGGCCCCCGCGCGGTCCGGAAGCGCACCGACGTCGACGCAAGAAAACGTCCTCACCTTCTGCTATACTTTCAGGGTTTAGGGTTTAGGGTTTAGGGCTTAGGGTCACACACTGAACTGAGCTGTTTCTTCGGAATTGCAGTGCCCAAAAAGTTCAAAGTTGTTCCCAAGAATCGCTCTCAGGGGCTGAATACCCTAGCCCATAAAAGGTTAACCTTCTGTTTGTACTAGGACTCTACTATAAGCAAAAAAGTTCAAGGTTAACTACCCAGCCCCTAAGTTCTTTCTTGGAGGCTCGCGCGTACTTAGACGCAGGGCTCCAAGTATGCTAACTATGGTTAGACCTTGACTTAGGGTACGTATAATCCGAATTACTTGGAAGCTCTTTTGACTTAGTGAGTCTACGTAGCATTTCCCTTTGAAACCCTCTCATCATCCGCACAACCCACCATACTATCCCTACTTACTAAGTCAACAGGGCTTCCAAGGGTGGGCACCAGGTGAACCTTGAAGTAGGACTGTACGGCTTTTGCAAAGGTACCGGAGCTCAGACGAAGCAAGGCGCAATCGGATTTTACTACACACCGGAAAAACGCACTGACGAAATTGCTCCAAAAACACCAATAACAGGGACATGAGCTTTGAGGGTGGGGGGTTTCGGGTTGAGGGTTTAGGGCTTGGGGTTGAGCCGGCGAATCCTCAACACTACACCCTAAACCCGAAACCCGAAACCCGAAACCCTGAGAACCCATGCCCCGGGCGCCTTCTTCCAGTCGTCCAGGAGACCCATGTCCTCGATCTTGGCACGGATAAATGGCATCAGGTGCCGACATCTTGTGCTGCTATGCCTTGGGTTCTTCTTGGGTTCTGGAGCTTAAGGTCTGGGGCTTAGGGCTTAGGGCTTAGGGCTTAGGGCTTTAGGGCTTCGTGGAGTTTAGGGTTTTGGGGGGCTTAGGGCGTTGGTGTTTAGGATGTTTGGGGGTTTGGGGGTTGAAGGCCTGGAGGGCTGAGCCCTACGACGGCAAGCGAGCTTACGATGCACCCGGCCTGCAAATTTGCGTGCTCCAAACGTGGCCCGAACAATCTGGATAAACCCCCTGGGTCCTGGGACATTCTTGCACCCCTGGGGCCCGTTAATCTTCATCAAACTCAAGAAAAACCTGAAAACGACACGGAGTTTAGGGCTAAACCCTCGAAAGGAAAGGTTAGGGTGGTTTTGCCGCCTGAGATGGCGTGCAGTAGAGATGTTAGACAGCCCTCCACAATCGGGCTACGGCTGCTCGTCGCGTTTCACGAAGCTTTCGAGCCCAGTCTGAATCCAGTCTTCACAGCTTCTGCGTCATATTACAGCAAACCCTAAACCCCAAAACCCGAACCCCAAACCCTAAAACCGCAAAGTCCTACAGCCCAAGCCCTAAACCCCAAACCCTAAACCCTAAACCCCAAACCCGAAACCATAAACCCCCAAATCCCCAATGAAGAATCCAGGATGCTCATTCAAGACTCTCAGGCCCTGCGTGGACGGATATCGCGCCAAGGTCGGTAACTCAAATCGGTAGAAGACGCTCGCTTGCAAGGACTGGCTTCCCTGTAAAGCCTAGGGGTTTAGGGTTTAGGGGTTAGGGTTTAGGGTTTGGGGGGTGGATTCGGAGGGCACTGCACAGATCAAATTTCTATGGGAGGGTTGTGCGGAGCCCACCTTCAACCTGATTTCCATATCCACCCCAGAGACACACAACCCTAAACCCTAAACCCCAAACCCCAAACCCCAAACCCTACCCTATTTCCTAGAAACCCCAGAACCCCCAAGGCCTTGTTCAGCAGCACCCGAATAAGATGGCCGGAGCTTCGTTGGACGATCGACTCCGAAGCAGACTGCCATATCGGCGCCTGCTGCTTCCTGAGTTGACCCAGCTCCCAGCAACATGCTTCTCAAACCCTAAACCCTAAACCCTAAACCCTAAACCCTAAACCCTAAACGCCTGCCTGGCGTCCAGTCGCAGTCCCCAAGTATGCTGCCATCCGAACTTTTCACGCCCTCCTTCTCCAGGAGGCTGCCCAAGGGAGTCCGGAACCTGGGCTCTTGTTTTGGGTTTAGGGTTTAGGGTTTAGGGTTTAGGGTTTAGGGTTTAGGGTTTAGGGTTTAGGGTTTAGGGTTTAGGGTTTAGGGTTTAGGGTTTGGGGTTAGGGGTTTAGGGTTTAGGGTTTAGGGTTTAGGGTTTAGGGTTTAGGGTTTAGGGTTTAGGGTTTAGGGTTTAGGGTTTAGGCTTTCGGGTTTAGGGTTTAGGGTTTAGGGTTGGGTTTAGGGTTTAGGACGCTTAGGTTTCCCTAGAACAAACCTGTCTAAACACTACAAGCACCTAGAATCACCCTACTAAGCCCAAAAACTTAAGAACCCTAACCCCTACACCCCAAACCCTCACTTGAGGAACTTCTTGACCTACGGGGTACTACGCGATTTACTGTATTTACTGTAGATAGCCCCGTTCAATGGTGGCCCGAAAGCCCGAACCCCCAACTGAGCCCGAAGCCCTAAGGAATGCTCCCTGAACCCTAAACCCTAAACCCTAAACCCCAAACCCTAAACCCTAAACCCTAAACCCTAAACCTCAACCTAAGTCTCTCAACAAGAACCCAGGAACTTGTCGTCTGCGCCGCTGGAGTGCAACCTCGAAACGCACTCCGAGCTCCAGTTTAGGGCTTTGGGCTCAGATTGCAGGGTTTAGGGTTTAAGGTTTAAGGTTTAGGGCTGAGAGGTTAGGGTTTAGGGTTCAAGGTTTAGGGTTCGGGGTTCAGGGCTTAGGGTTTAGGGTTTAGGGTTTAGGGTCTAGGGTTTAGGGTTTAGGGTTTAGGGTTTAGGGTTTAGGGTTTAGGGTTTAGGGTTTAGGGGTGCTCTTCACCGCCAAGCAGCATGTAAAGGTTCAGGGCCTCGCACCAACGCGCGCGCGACTGCTGCGAGGCCCCACTCCACAGCAGCAGGCTCTTGCTCTTGAAGCTTTCACCTCGGAGGTTTAGGGTTTAGGGTTTAGGGTTTAGGGGTTTAGGGGTTTAGGGGTTTAGGGGTTTAGGGGTTAGGGGTTTAGGGGTTTAGGGGTTTAGGGGTTTAGGGGTTTAGGGGTTTAGGGGTTTAGGGGGTTAGGGGTTTAGGGGTTTAGGGGTTTAGGGGTTTAGGGGTTTAGGGGTTTAGGGGTTTAGGGGTTTAGGGGTTTAGGGGTTTTGGGTTTAGGTGTTTAGGGGTTTAGGGGTTTAGAGGTTTAGGGGTTTAGGGGTTTGGGGGTTTCGGGCTCAGGGCTTCGGTTCTAGGCACAGGGTTGACCCAACAAGCCCATGGTGACAGAAACCAAAAGGAGTCTACAGGGGTTTAGGGTTTAGGGTTTAGGGTTTAGGGTTTAGGGTTTAGGGTTCCAGTTGGGATGTTCCCCCTTATACGAACGGTCCGTAAATAGGACCATTGGCATCAGGGGATCATCCCGACTCTCCAGCACAAAAGCCAAACAAGAAGCAGTCTACAGGACCCCCAGAGAATCTTAGA